ACAGACTCAGGAAAGCTCTCTATAGGCTTAAACAGGCTCCACGAACCTAGTACAGTAAGCTAGAAGCCTACTTTGCCAGAGAAAAATTTGTACGTTGCTCTAGTGAACACACCTTGTTCACAAAAAAGGTTCATGATAATGTTTTAATTGTTAGTCTCTATGTTGTTGATCTGATTTTTACTGGAAATTGCAAAGATATATGTGAAGAGTTCAAAAGCTCAATGCAGTTGGAATTCAACATGACCGATCTAGGTAAAATGAGACATTTTCTAGGAATAGAAGTAATACAGAATGAGGCAGGAATTTTCTTTTGTCAAAGACAGTATGCACGTGAGGTACTAGCTCGGTTCAACATGACAGAGAGTAACTCTATACGAAATCCCATTGTACCAAGAACTATATTGTCCAAGGATGATGAAGGAGCTCTAGTAGATGCTACAAAGTTTAAACAAGTTGTTGGTAGCCTCATGTATTTGACAGTCACATGGCCAAACTTGATGTTTGGGGTAAGTCTAATCAGTAGATACATGGCTAATCCAAAGGAGTCACATTGGGCTGCAACAAAACAAATTTTCATGTATTTAAAAGGCACCATTGAGCATAGTCTTTTCTATCAAAAAGGAAAAGAAATAGGTCTCACAACCTACAGTGATAGCAACTATGCAGGGAACTTAGATGATAGAAGAAGCACCTCCGGATCAGTATTTATGATGGGAACTGCAGTTGTATCATGGGCTTCAAAAAAATAGCCTATAGTTAGTTTATCTACTACTGAGGTTGAATACATTGTTGCAGCATCTTGTGCATGTCAATGCATTTGGCTTAGAAGAATTCTGGAGCATCTTGGGTTAGAAGAACAAGAAGCCACTGAAATTTTATGTGACAATAAGTCTACAATTCAACTATCCAAGAATCATATTCTCCATGGAAGAAGTAAGAACATCACAGTGAGATTTCACTTTCTCAAAGATTTGGTGAATGATCATGTAGTTCAACTGAAATATTGCAATACTAATGACCAAGTGGTTGACGTGATGACTAAAGTTGTCAAGCTCGATCAATTTGAGAAGTTCAGACACATGCTTGGTGTAGTTAAAGTTACTGAAATAAGCTAAAGCTTAAGGGAGGGAATGTTAGTTATTTACGTGTCAATAATGCTCCCATATTATAAGGCCAAATGGGTCTTTTATTAGTTGTTTTATTTACTCCTATTTTAGTGCCACTTAGTGTGCAGTTTCAATTAGTTTGTTTCTGAGAGTCTGTAAGACTTATATAAGTCATTCTTTGCATTGAATAAAATACACGGGTATACAAATAAACATAATCAAACTATCAACACACATGTCAAGGGTAAAACTTTAATACAAGCATGTGCTTTTACTCTCCAAAAAGTCAGCAATGAACTAGAAATTCTCCATAATCCTTCACCACTAATCAATGCACAAGTTACAATTGATCCAAATGCATTTGCTTTAACACTAACAATCTTCCACAAAATAAACATAATCAAAGCATCAATACACATGTCAAGGGCAAAACTTTCATTCTAACAGGTGCTTTTATTCTCCAAAATGTCAGCAATAAACTAGAAATTATCGATAATCCTTCATCACTAATCAATGCACAAGTTACAATTGATAGAAATGTATCTCCGTTAACACTAACAATCTTCCACAAAATAAACATAATCAAACCATCAATACACATGTCAAGGGCAAAATTTTCATTCTAAAGGGTGCTTTTATTCTCCAAAATGTCAGCAATGATTCATAAATTATCCATAATCCTTCACCACAAATCAATGCACAATTTCAAATTCAAAGAAATACATCTGCGTTAAGACTGACAATCTTTCACCAAATAAACATAATCAAACCATCAACAAATATGTCAAGGGCTAAACTTTCATAAAAACAGGTGCTTCTATTCTCCAAAAAGTCAGCAATGAACTAGAAATTGTCTTTAATCCTTCACCACAAATTAGCACACAAGTTATAATTGATCCAAATGCATCTGCATTAACATAATCAAAACGATCAACACAAATGTCAATGGAAAACCTTTCATACAATTATGTGTTTTTTTTCTTCAAAAAGTTAGCAATGAAGTAGAAATTGTCCATAATTCTTCTCCACAATTAAATGCAGAAGCTACATTTGACCAAATGCATATGCGTTAATACTGTCAATCTTCCATCAAATAAACATAATCAAATCATCAACACACATGTTAAAGGCAAAAATTTCATAAAGATAGGTGTTTATATTCTCCAAAAAGTTAGCACTAAACAAGAAATTGTCCATAATCCTTCACCCAAACCAATGCACAAGCTACAATTAATCCAAACGCATCTCCGTTAACACTGTCAATCTTCCACAAAATAAACATAATCAAACCATCAACAAACATGTCAAGGGAAAAACATTCATAGAAACAGGTACTTTTATTCTCCAAAAAGTCAGCAATGAACTAGAAATTGTCCATAATCATTCATCACTAATCAATGTACAAGTTACAATTGATCCAAATGCATCTGCTTTAACACTGACAATCTTCCACAAAATAAACATAATCAAAGCATCAAGACACAGGTCAAGGGAAAAAGTTTCATTCTAACAGGTGCTTTTATTCTCCAAAATGTCAGCCATAAACTAGAAATTGTCGATAAACCTTCACCACTGATCAATGCACAAGTTATAATTGATTGAAATGTATCTGCGTTAACACTAACAATCTTCCACAAAACAAACATAATCAAACCATCAATACACATGTCAAGGGCAAAACTTTCATTCTAACGGATGCTTTATTCTCCAAAATGTCAGCAATGATTTAGAAATTGTCCATATTCCTTCACCACAAATCAATGCACAATTTAAAATTCAACAAAATACCTCTGTGTTAAGACTGACAATCTTCCACAAAATAAACATAATCAAACCATTAACAAACATGTTAATGGCTAAACTTTCAAAAAAACAGGTGATTTTATTCTCCAAAAAGTCAGCAATGAAGTTGAAATTGTCTGTAATCCTTCACCACAAATCAATACCCAAGTTGATATTGTAGCTCCTATGTAGTTCACAAAAAGGGTATTATAAGAGGAATATTAATAAGTTTCTTCGTCTCTATGATACTCATATTTGTCATCATCAATATTAGCGTAACCACAGGAACTGTCCACCCCATCAACACTTATGTGGGAATAGTAACATTTCTATTCATGGACATATGGTTGAAAGTGTTAACTAGAATGGGTTTAAGGAAAATAGTTTTTACTCGGGAGGAGCATACACTTATTCACACAGGTGTTGTGACAGCTAGTACGGTTGCCTTCAATGGTATTTCCTTCTCTGTTCTGTTTTAATTTTTTTTACCGACTAGTTGGTGAACTATAAAGGTTTAAAAAATACTATGCTAAAATTATAGTTAATGCTTAATAGCTAATGCAATCAATGATAAAATGAATCTTCTTGTTGACACTTTGTTTGAATTTTTTTGAACAGCTGGTTTTGGTAACTACCTCCTTGGAATGAGATCAGAAATTGCAAAACAATTTGGAGAAGTTAATACTAAGCAAGATATCAAGGACCTGAGTATGGGTTGGATAATCTTATTCTTAGCTTTTGCTAACTTGTCGGGCTTGTGTTTACTTATTTCACTCTTAAAGGTACACTAATTGAGACAACAATACCCACTTCACCGGTTTACTCGGCCGACACGTATAAAAATATAGAAACGCCAACGGCCGAGGCGTGAGTCCTAAGCATAGAAAGAGGTTTCGGAATGCCTACATTGCCGCCCAGGCATTCGGATGTAATTGGGTCGGCGCAATTTCTATACATGAATCTTTTTGTTGGTTACAACATGTTGATGAGTTTCAACGTTTGTTGTCACAGATCATGATAGTAGACCTCAATTTGTCATATCCCAGTGGTACTGCAACAGGTCATCTAATCAACAATTTACATATACCAGATGGCGTCACACAAACTAAGTAAGGATTCAAGCCTTTAATTTTATAAATATATCAATAAGATGATTTTAATTTAACTATATTTTTTTGTGTTTTGTTCTTAGGAAGCAAGTACATAGTTTTCTATACATGAATCTTTTTGTTGGTTACAACATGTTGATGAGTTTCAACGTTTGTTGTCACAGATCATGATAGTAGACCTCAATTTGTCATATCCCAGTGGTACTGCAACAGGTCATCTAATCAACAATTTACATATACCAGATGGCGTCACACAAACTAAGTAAGGATTCAAGCCTTTAATTTTATAAATATATCAATAAGATGATTTTAATTTAACTATATTTTTTTGTGTTTTGTTCTTAGGAAGCAAGTACGTGTGCTGAAAATCTTCTTACTCTGTAGCTTTCTATGGAGCTTCTTAAGATGGAGTTTCACTCGTGGTGTTGGATGCGGATTAGTTCTCCCTATATTTGGTCAAGAAGCCTATGAACACCATTATTTTACTCACCAACATGTTATTAATGATTCACGTCTCTTATCTAAATAAGGGTATTCTATAAACCGTAGTATTGGCAAACAATTCAAATAATTGAGGGAGAGGTTTATGAGTTTCACTTTTAATGAACTTGTGAGGGAGAATTTTCAAAAATATATATATAATACATTTTTTAAATAATAAACATCTTTGTTTGTGATTTTTTTTATATCTATGTAAGTTGACTTGTTTGTGTTCTCTTTGTTAATTTATGATGCAAATTCTAGAAAAGAAAAAGAAAATTCTAGAAAACATAAGAAAAGGTGTATAAGTCTCTATGCCCGGATTGAACGAGAAGACCAAGACCCAAGACCAGACCTACTACAACAAGGATAATTGGAGTGTGTATCCTAACACAGGAACAACCATAATTATTCAGAATATGAAACTTGAATCCCCTCATGTTAAGAAAGTAGACCCGACCGAAAAAGCATAATAGCAGTTAAAGTTGGTTGAACCACCACATTGAAGCAATCTCCAATCAAGATCTTCAACTCAAGAGACCCCATTATATATACTACATACACATTACACGTTCCCATGTAACACCACCCCATAAGCATCAATTCCCTTTCATTTCCCGGTCTCTACAATGGCAAGTCCCACATCGGTGAAGGAGCGCGCAGGCGCGGAGATCGTTTACGGGCCGGAGGAGTGCCGGAAGCGGTCGACGGAGCTTCTCCAGGAGCTGGGGTTCCCTTCGGGGGTGCTTCCGCTGAAAGATCTGATCGAGTGCGGAAGGGTCCACGAAACGGGGTTCGTGTGGATGAAGCAGAAGGAACCGAGCGTGCACTTCTTGGAGGGAAGCAAGAGCCTGGTGAGGTACGGCGTGGAGGTTACGGCCTACGTGGAGAAGTCGAAGATGAAGAGAATGAGTGGCGTTAAGAGCAAGCAAGTGTTGGTGTGGGTGCCCATTTCTGAGATGAGTCTTCATGCCCATGGGAATGGGAACCAGATTCTCTTCAAGACACCTTTCGGGGTTGGTAAGTCTTTTCCTGTCCAAGCGTTCTTCACCGCGGAGGAGGAGAAGGGAAAGAACATGCTGCTCAAGGATCACGAGGAGATCAAGGACATGTGATTTCTTCTTGATAATTTCATTTTGGTTTGTGAAAATCTATCCATCCTCAAATAAACTCTTAGACGTCTTACACCAAAAATATTAGATTTTACTTAATACTAATTGGGTGTGGGGACAAGGATGAGTATTCACTTATTTATCTCATTCTTGTTTTATGTAATATTTTTTATGATTTATTTGAGATTTATGTAATTTTTATCTTATTTTAAATTTATATATAAGATGGAACTTAATGTAATTTTATAATTGGTTTTTATGTTTAAATTATTATTTTTTTGTAAAAAGAATATTAATTTTTTAGGTAAATACGAATATACTCAATACTTGATAAAGACGAAAATAAAATATAAATTTCATATCTTTTGGATATCGAGAATGGTGATGAAATACAAATTTTTTATCTGTTAAATATTTAGGACGGAGATAAATATAAGATACAAATTCAAGAACAAGGATAGAGATATTAAAATTACATCCGCCCTGTCTCACCCCTATTGTCATTCCTAACAACATGGATAATTCTAGAAATGAATTTCTTATAAGTAGTAGTATGTTGGGAATAAGTGGGGATTAATCATTGAAGAAATTTTCACAATAGATCATAAAAGCACAGAAGTAAATTCGATATCACATCTTAATTCAAAATCCTCTCTCTTTATTGTTCATCATTCCTTAATCCTTAAGAATCTTTAGGAATTTTGTTTGAATTGTTTTAGTTTTTTATAAATATGAGTTTGGATTTAAATCAATTCTACAAAATTAACTTAAAGAAGAAATTAATTCTCACTTCTATATTGTTCATACCACTAATTTATGTAAAATCTCAAATATAATTGTTGTCACCTACCTTGTCTTTGTCTTTGTTGTTATTTGTGTAATGTTGCATATTTCTTTTGATGTACAAGAAAATATTGTCAAAGTCTATTTAGGTATAAGATAAAAATACTTTTTAGAATTTTTCTATTAAAAATAAAGAGTTGTTTTAAATAGGTAAACTCTCAAGTATTTTTCTACTTGTATCTAGACTCTTAATCCAAGTCAGAAAGTATAGTCTCAAGTGTTCTTTGTGTCATCTCCCGAACTTGTGCAATCAATGTTGCAGTAAATGAGCCACCTTGAGTTGGTCATGATACAATATACCAATTTCTTTCGTTTTCGTAGCCACTAAGCATATCAGAACTCATTTGACTTTGTCTTTTCATGATCCTTAATTTAACTTTTGGCGTACGTGACTAAATAGATTAGTACTTCATCGATGAAAGACTTAGTTGAAGCAAAAATGAGTTTCACACTATTTATCAAGACTCAAAGTTAGCATAATAGCTCATTGTCTTATTTACACAAGAATAACTTAAGTATCGATTATTATTATACATTTAATTTGAAGTTTTGTCTGTAGTTTGAATTTTAAAATTATATAAAATTATGTTTTAGTTTTTAAGCATTATAATGTTATGATATTATGTTTTTTATATTATTTTATTTATTATTATTATATTAATAATAGTTTGTCACAATTAAAGCATTAACCTTGAACAAGTATTCTGAGAGCTCAATAATCAGTTCGATTTAAAAACTAGTGCAAATAAGTGATGTGTAAAGATATTCAAAAACGTAATTACTACCAAAGTATTAACAACACATAATTTGAATAATTTGGATTTGTTATTTTTAAAAATAAATAAATACATAAATAAGCACTTTTTTTTTTAAAAGATAAGAAAGATTATAAAAATGGTCGTAACGAGGATTAAATCTAGTTCTCATGTTTCTAATTATCCCATGTCTTCCTCACCCAACCACTAGACTAACCTTAATAGTTATAAATAAGCACGTTTTAAAAACAAATACTTGAAATCTTTTTAAAATATATCCGGTCACAATTTTTTTTTAAAAAAAATATCATAAACTATTCTTTTATAGATTAAAATATATTATATTAGTGTGTTTAGAAACCCGTTAAAGAAAAGGAAGAAATCACAGATATGAAATTTTTAATTATAAACTTATTACATCCGAGACGTGAAAAATCAAATTTAAAATGTAAAACCAAACATCCAATAAATTAATCTTCAAAAGTTTGACGTGTTTCCACATTTACACAATTAAAAAAAAAACACTATAAATTCTTTTACTTATTCTATTGTAAATTAAAATACATTAGTGTTTAGAAATCTCTAAAAGAAAGAAATCAAGTTTGAAATATGAAAATTATAACTATTATTTTATTAAAGGCGTGGAAAATCTCATCCAAGGTATGAAACCAAACATACTATATATTAATCTTCAAAAGTATGACGTGTTTCCACATTAGTCTTTTAAAAAAAAATTCTGATTCATTTAGTATTTTAAAAATCAATAACACCACTATGTTTATCCATGTAAATAACTAATGTGGTAGCATTTAATAATAAATTCTACAGCTATTTCATACATTTAACGTATTAGTGAAATGCAAAACATTTTTGAAAGACTGACAAATAATATGATGTTCACTCAAACAGTAAGTTCAAAAAAAAAAAAAAAAAAGGAGACATTACTTATGTAAATTAGCTTCAAAATAAGTAGAAGAATAAATTAATGTTAATGATTTTCAAAATACAAGTTCCATAACCCCTCTCTCTTTTTGATTCATAACCCCTCCCTTTACCAAAAGAAAAGAAATCAAATTCTTGCACTGCAATTATGAACAAGCAGCTTATCCTTTTCTGATGACAATGAAACAAATGAAAAGACAAAAGGAAAGAATAGTAATGAACTGTACACACCACCATTTGTGCAAGGGAGTTGTTCAATCCCATACTTTCATACACAGTAATCTACATTCTAACATCTAAAGCTAAGTTATAAGTTATAACAACAAATAGGTATATATATAAACCATCCCAAAGTAACTGGTTCCTGCTCCATGTTTTTCATGTGAATAGTGGCAGGCATCAGAAGCTCAAAAGAATGCAAAACTTCCCAGTTCACTTGTGTTCTTCGTTCTGGAAATTCTGTGAGATCCCCGGCACTACACGTGATGGTTCCTTCTGCCATTGGGCTTATAATCTGGATTGTCACTCTTATCTGTATCAGAATTCTCCCTCTGAGTGTCCACCTCCATGTTTCCTGCCTGACTCCTTCGGCGTCTTCGATCCTGAAATAGTGAAATGCCATTAACAATGTTTGAGAAACACCACATTCCAAACACACCACCAAGTAAACTGATGAGTTGGCATAATAGTTAAACACACTGCATTCGCATATTGTGGAAGCAATCTACTTAACAAAGAATTTCGTATTCGATCTCTGCCATGTGTGAAAATCTTATGGGCCAATGGCCATCACTACCACAAATAGGATTGGTTTCTAGCCCAGTGGATTAGGGGATACACGTGCAAGGACCAAAATGAAAAAAAAGAACACCACCAAATGTATATTTAAAATGGGATAAGTTGCTTCAAAGGGGTCCCAAAATAAATGTCATTTTTTCAGAAAAAGGAATGATGCAAATGTAGATTCTTTTGTAACATTAATATCTACACATTTTCACATTTGTTTTGTTTGACCTTTTAAAATGTTGTTGCAAGGAAGCAAATGTAATTCCATAAAGCACAACCAAATTGGAAACACATTGTAATGTTAAAGATGTGAACAAGAACTCAACCTCTCGTGGTATAGGATATTCCTCTGATTCGAGCATGCGGACAACTTGGCTCATCCTTGGTCTTTTTTCAGAATCTGGATCAACACACCTCAAAGCAGTCAAGAGGGCTCGTTTAAGGGCACTTGTGGATGGCCTCGTCTCAATGTTCGGGTCCAACACCTCCTCTGATCGCCGACACCCTACCATCATCTTGAGCCAGTCAACCAAATTTACCTACAAGAACCACCTCATGGTATTAAGAAAAGTCTAATGACTGTAATGAGTCAAAACTGTTGGAATAGAAAGAAAATTGTGTACTCCATGTGAGATTTTTTATGTATTCCATTCTTTCAAGATCATAATTCACGTTAGGACATAGTGCTCCTTTGGCAATTACTCAAAATCAATTGCTCCGACTGTGACAGTTGTTTCAATGTAAAATCTATGACTATGATTAATTTCTATTTTTTTTGTCCATAGACATGATCCATGCAGTATCTCAAAACTGATAACCAAAGACTAAGCTAGACTCCTAGGAACACACATTTCAATTACATTTAAAGGTTCAAAATCAATTTTATTTTGGCCTTGTAAGGGAATGCATCTTCTCCTAATCTAAGTTTTAGCTATCTAAGAAAAAAAAATCAATTCTACTCAACTTTAAAACAAACCATTTCATAAAATAGTAAAGAGAATGAATATATATAAATGCAAAAAAGCACTTGTCATTATGATTTCTTTACAAAAACTAAAGACACACCTCAGCGGCTGGTCGGCTATAATCCACAGGGTCTCTTCCTGTAATTGCCTCAAGGAGCAATACCCCAAAGCTATATACATCACTCTTCTCATTTAGCAAGCCAGAATTGGCATATTCTGGAGCAACATATCTGGGAAAATGCAATTCAAGCATAAAAAGAAGAATGAGCAAGTTAGAGGCAGTTTTAATTTTTATAATATCATGTCTAAAAAACTAAGAAGATAAACATAGAAAATTTTAAGAGTGCAAATTAATGTCAGCTATGATATGGTTTAATTGAAAATTTGATGTAACAATTGATGATAACTTTTTAAGCAAAATGAAATACTGGATCACTTGTTTTGCTTAGTTAGACAGAATTGGAACATTCTGGAGCCACATATCTGAAAAATGCAAAGCAAGCATGACAAGAAGCCAACTAGAGACAGATACATTACTCCACATGTATGATTAGTCAAGGCATAAAAAGGCCAACTCTGTCAATTTTTGTGTACAAATTATTATCTGCTGTTTTGGCAGAATAATCATAAATTTTTTAAGCAAAATGAACTACTTTATTTATGCATGGTATGAATATATTTTAATCAAGATTAGAGTACAGGAATGAGATCAGATCACCAAGGAAATTTAAACCTAAGATTGCAATTGCTTCGGTTCTGGGGAATGATGTTACATTCTTGGGAATGGTATTTCTGAAAATATATTATGTCTATGTTTAGTATCTTATATCATTTATAAACTTTCCCAAGAACATATAATTATAAGATAAAATTACCCTAAAAAGAATAAAATTTCCTTTTCTTCTCCCCCTACCCGCTATAACCACCCAATACCCATTCTTGTAAGTTTAAGACTTCAATCATTCTCATTCTCATGGGAATAAATTATACCCACCTCTCTCAATGGGAATGAATTGGTGAGAACTGAGAATACTCAAAATGACTAGGTACAATATTTAGATGGAAATTTTTTACAAAGAAACAAGTGTACGGATGTTACTGTTCCAGTATGGAACTTCTCAATTGACAGGAGATTGGCACGGTACAATTACATACCCATTCCAATATTCCTAGGAATGTAAATCTAAACCTCTTAAACAGCGCCATATAAAAGTTAACAATATAATTTCTCAATTTACGGTATAATATTATATATATAAAAGGAGGGTTCCGTTTACTCCAGGAGTAAGTCTACCTAGACTTACTCCATTCAATAACTCATGTTCTACATCAAATTTTAACAATCCAACCGTTGAATTTAAAATTCTTAATGCATAGATCAAATCTACAAATTTTTAAAAAATTTGAAAAACATTCAATACTTCGTTTCACAAATTCAAATCAATGTATAAAATAATTTTATGATTATACGTCAATTTGAATTAATGAAATGAAGTATCAAATGATTTTCAAATTTTTTAAAATTTTGTAGATTTGATCCATGCATTAAGAACTTTAAATTTAACGTTGAATCGTTGAAATTTGATGTAGAACATGAGTTATTGAACAGAGTATGTCTAGGTAGAGGGTTTAGGGTTTAGGGTTTATAGAACATGTGTGTGTGTGTGTATGTGAGAGAAAATAAAGGATGAGGATCAATATCCTTTAAAATTATTCTTGAATAAACATGATCCCTCCTCTATATATATATACAAAAAGAAGAAAAAATCATACTTAGATGTGTACATTACCATGCCTGACTAAACATTTATAGAGAAACTAATTCCTACACTGGAAACAAACAAGTCCTAAATTTGTAATCAAGAAGCTTACCCAAAAGTACCCATAACTCTAGTGGTAATATGACTTTTTCCAGCACCAAGTAACTTAGCCAGCCCAAAGTCTGATATCTTGGCATTAAAGTCCTCATCAATTAAAATATTGCTCGATTTAATATCTCGATGCACAACTTTTGGTTCAATTGCCTCATGCAAATAAGCCAGCCTACAAGATAAAATAATCATAGAATAAAAAAATAACTCATTCCCACCAAACAAAAGAAGTTCAGGACAATTAGTAATTCTATTAAACTAGTAGAATTTGATTTTCAGGAACAAATGAGCATACGCTTTGGATGTTCCGAGGAGAATTTTTATCCGAGCATCCCAGGTAAGAAATCCATGCTGCCGCATCGCTCCATGAAGCCACTGCTCTAAGTTGCCATTGTTAACATACTCATAAACCAACAACCTGAAATTAATAGGAAGTTCAATAAAATTTACAAACAATACAAAACAGTATTTAAAGATATAAACTGTGATATAAAGAGATATATCTCAATCATCAAGATCTTCCATCCTAGAAGAGACTTCTGAACTTAATTTTTCAAATATTAGTAACATGGTAATAATGGAGACATTAACCCATATGGTAAGCCTTTAAGCTGTCGGTCAAATGACCAAATCAAGTAAAGAAGCAAACATTCAAACACACACATATAGCGCAAGCCGCAAACACTAACAATTTGTTACCTATGAGTTCCTTCAATGCAATAGCCCAAAAGTCGAACCAAGTTCTTATGCCGCACATGACCAATAGCCTCAACTTCCACCCTGAATTCCTTTTCAGCTTGTCCTCTGCACAATGGGTATCAAGGGGTCATTAGATAAACCACCTAAATCTGCAAACATTCTAATAAAACATGAAACAGACATTATAAAATCTAGTCTAAAATTTTAAATAAATAAATAAAGGCTGCAATGCAACAAACCAAACTAATGACAAAGCTTACAAATTATTGAGGAGCTTCTTTATGGCCACAGGATTCCCATTGATTAACTGACCTTGATAAACAATTCCATATCCTCCTTCACCAATAACATTGTCTTTTGAAAACCTATTTGTTGCGAGTTCAAGGTCCCTTAAGGTAAACCAGTGGCCCCAGCCAAGGTGTGAGAATTCAGGCAGCCCAGACAACGGGGACGGCGCGGTTATAGGATGCGAAGAAGACCTGTAAGTAGAAATGCTCTTAACACCGCTTTCTTCGCCTGATTGAGAGCCGTTAGCATCTTTCTCTAAATGATTAAACGAGCCTGATTGACTACTATTGTCCGCATTCTTAGTTTGGACCAAAACCTTCTCAGACTCCCTGTCACCAAATTTCTCATTCAGACTCTTAAAAGCACCATTTTGTGGATGATTACTTGCTGAAACTTGATCAACTCTGATTTCTTTTATCTCTTCCGAAACAGATAACACATGGCTAAGTGGAAGCATGCCATTTATTCTTCTGAACTTCTTTCTTAAAGTAAGACATATTGATAGCACGACAAGAATGATTATGATGAATAACCCAACTATTATTCCCATTAGTACCCACACTTTCAATCCAAAAACAAAAGTTTTTTTGGACAACCCCGAATTCAGATCAGATGCCATTTTGCTGCTGCCAAACAAATCTGCACAAGTGTGTGTTAAAACATAAGAAAGAACTTGGATGCATACGGCAAATCGAGTTGCAAAAGTAAACCATTTAATTAGACTAACTGAATTATCTTTGCTACCAGATACAGTAGTAAAAAAAAATAAAAATAAAAATAAAATAAAATAAAAAAACTGGTTATTACATACCAACAGGAGTTCATTTCCCGGAAGAAAATAATAATGGGGGAAAAGTTTATAAAAATAAACACAGCATTTTGGTTTTGTATTAACATCCAAATAAATGAAGCACATATGAAGCAGAGAAAAGTCTAGCAAATTTGATTTCAAACTTATTGCAAAATACAAATTCATAAGAAGCCAAAAGAGCATAAAAACAAAAAAAAAATGTTTTGTATACAACACATGAAAACCAAGTAAGGGAGAAAGACCAGGACATTGTTATCTTAGTACAGAGGAAGAAACAAGCTCAATAAAATTCCAAATTCAGCTAACCCAAAATTATTGAGCCAAGTTGCAAGAGAGCCAATGAGAAAACAACAAAAAAAGGAAACATCATCTGTTAACATCTCCCAGGTTTTTACCACAAACATTGCAACAATTTTCTTACAACAAAAATCCACATTATGTGAAAAAGAGGCAATAACTCTTTGAAACTGTAAGGCTCAATGAATACCTGTTCACAACTCAAATTCTTTGCAGACCCTGAAGCAACTTAAGCACTAGATCTCTTATGCTCCCAAAACCCTCTTGGGTGTGAAGCCATTGGAGCACCACAAGTTCAGACCCATTGTCATAATCTTTACCAATGTGAGATTTTGCCTTGTGGGTTTTCTCAATTGCTCCAAAGGGTGTCTGATTCCAACCTGAAATGGAAATTCTGAGACCCCCTCCCCCCTTTCTTCACTGAACAAAATGAAGGAGGAGGTCACAGAAAAGTGATGCAGTTGGAGGGAATTGGAGAACACAAGAGGCACATGAAATTCTGAGGAGAGGCAAATGGTGGGGTTAATAAGAAGACCTGGAATTATCAGTGTTAGGTGATGGGAAGTGACATGACTCACATTACATACAGTAAAAGAGAAGGCATCAAAATAGAAACCTTCTTTGCTGTTTCTTCAAATTTCTTCCCTCTCCTCTCTTCATTCTCTTTCTTCCTGTTTCTGTCTTTACTATTTCTCTCTATATTTTATTTGTACTTGGTATTATTATTCATAATAGTTTTGGCACGCTGAAATTTTCTTATAATCATTAGAGAGAAATGACACTTTTACACGTAATTCAATCACAAATATAATTCATTAATTTTTATGATAATTACATAAAAAACCATATTAATAATAATTTTATATTAACAGTAAAAAAATCTACTAACAAAACATAATAAGTAACCATTCAACATAATAACGATGAGAGTTAGAATTATACTCGTTTTAAGTTTAAACTTTATCGTCGATATTATAATTTTTGTGTATAAAAAATCCATTCAAAAAAATTTATCAAAAAGTGTGCATAATCATTTTTTTTTTTGTAACTAGCAATAAATAAATTCCAAAAAAAAATTAAACTCTAAGAAACTGCATTTTCATAACATCAAATAAAATGATTTGAGGTCATTAAGAGGAGATTCCAATTCTAAATATGTAAAACTACAATTCGGACTAGACTAGCCAAATATATAGTAGATAATCAGTAAAGTATAATTATAAATTTATACACTATATATTGATTAATGACATGTTAATAGTTTATCTATAAGTCAATGTAAAAAAATTTGTCCAGCTATCATGAATATTTCTTATTCTTGAAACTCTGGTCACTGTAACAATGAGAGCACATTCTATCCATTGGTTGAAATACAAGTAAATTGATTTCAAACGAAATTTATATGTATAATGTCAAGTGTTTCAATCACGGAAGTGTTAAAAGAATTATCTAACATTATATGCGAGAGGTTTTCAAATCAATGGAAAATTATATATTTTGTGTCTATACATGGATATAAATATTAAAATTTATATCTTTTCATAAAAATGTGTGACTATTCATGAAAGATTGTGTGATTTTATGAAAATAAGACTTGCCTCTTTTTCAAAAGTTATGAGATGTGTGTATTTATAGACTATATTTCACTAAAAGAATCAAGATGGTATCTAAATAGAATCAATAAGCATGTATAATAAATAAATTAAATAAAAAAAAAAAAAAAAAAAAAAAAAAAAAAAAAACAAGAAACCTAGAGAGAAACAATCTATCGATGGAAAAGGAGAGACAAGGAAACAATCACAAATTATCTAAGTTTTTGTATTCAAAATCACTTCCGTTCTTAGTCTATTAAAATTAATTTTAAAAAAATTATTATTTTATAAATTATCATTGATGATAAACTTAATTGTGGATATAAATATCATAATAAGGGATTCCATTGTATTCTAAAAAAAATGTCATTATATCCTATTACATCTAACTTATTATGTAGAGAATAGTGAGAACGAATCAAACCTAAAAGTTTAGTATTTCATAAACGCCATAAAAACTTGCTTTTTTTCCTTTGTTAATTTATCTTTGTTACAAGACCATTAGAATTTTTTTTTCTTTAATATCGTTTTTATGTTTTCTTCTCTAATATCTCTTTTTTACTGTATAACCATCACTACCTATATGTTTATTCATCTTAATAATTGGTCTCATAGTTATGTATATGAAAATATCTTATAACCGAGCACATCACATTTTAGAAAAATGACAAAATGAGATGTGAAATGAGATGTGAAATAATTAAAAAAATTTAAATAAATAAATAAGTGCAAAACAATCTCATCTACCGTGTGCGAGGGAGGTAAATATTTGAAGGGGTGACTAAATTACATCAGCATAAAATCCATTGTTTGGATACCAAATATGTGGAATATTAAACTTGCAAAAATAAAAGTAGTGAGAGTATGACTATCAGGAATTCAATAATATATTAAAAATTCTCATATCAAACATCATTGATACTTTTTATAGACAGTGAAAATCACAATAAATATCTAATTTAACTTAACATTTTACTTATCGAATTAAAGTTTAATAAAGATTTATTAAAAAATTCAAATTTTATTTTTAATGTCAAAAATTCTCTTTTAAAAAATTATATCTATTAAGTAAGATTTTTTTAAGTTATAAATAAACTTATGTCATAGAAAATATAAGTTGAAACTAAAATTGTGTCAACCAACCTCATTATACTATTTTTTTAAAAACTAAGTTTAAGGGATTTGAAATAACACCCTAAGCTTTAGAAATCTTTTGAAACACACAAAACCCCTCATCCAAATAGAGGAATATATATACAACTAGCATTTTTTTTTTTTATTGAATTGCATAAATTTCTAAATTAAACTTTTACGTTTACATGACATGATTTATCGGATTCAGTAGGGTGGATAGGATGAAAGAATTATAAGACTGGACAGCACACCAAATTTGTGATAGTCCAAATTAGCCCTATTGAATAACCATTATTGAAGCATGTCCTTGGTAGGCAAGGTTAGCCTTATGAACCATGTGTCTGATCAACGTTAACCCATAGGCTGCGTCCAAACATTGAATTCAATCCCCATTCTTAAGTTCCCTTGTCCAAAAAGAAAAACCACATACCATAACACCCCAAACAGCAAAACCGTTGCTGAGGGAAGCACTTAACTACGTACCCAAAATAAGGAACGGTGAAGGCCCTCCACAATGTTGCAGTGGAAGAAGAGCAACACGTGAATCAGTGAAAGCCAAAGGGAAAGAAAGTCCCACGTTGGAAATCAAATTAATGTCTGTTGGCCTTAGACAGTTTTAATAGATGCTGACTACACAACATTATTTGGAGATTTTCTTTTATAAACCAAATATTTAGGGATATATGGGATACAAGTTATCCATGAATCCGAATAGGCATGGCAACGGGGCGGGGCGGGGGCGGGTTTTACGTTCCCCGCCCCCGCCCCCGCAAATTTAAACCGCCCCCGAT